GGGCCCTGTCCTTTCTCCGCATGCCCCGCCCTCCCTTTTCTGTGGCAGATGCTGCAGACTGAACCGGGGTCCTTTGCACTGAGCCACATCCCCAGACCTTTTACATTTGTTATTTTGAGACGGGGTTTTGCTAAGTCACTACGTTGCCTAGGGTGGGCTCAAACTTGGGATCCTCCTGCCTCAGTCTTCCAGAGCACTGGGCTTGCAGGCGTGCCCCAGCACGCCCAGGCCTGGCCTCCTCTACCCTCTAGTTTTGGAAGGACGTCCTCTGTAAAGGACCAGCAGGTGTCAGGGACCAAAGGACTCCGCTCCCTTGGCCCCCGGCCGGGGTGTCCACACGCAGCCAAGAAGCCCACTTCTGCGCGTGCAGAGGCCTTGACGCCCTTCCCGTCGTGGCCACAGGGAGCAGCCTGAAGGTGCCCTGGCCGCCGGCTCCCAGCAGCTCCTCTCCAGCCGGCGGCGCACTGCAAGGGCGGGGTGCGTGTGGCGCGCGGTGCTTCCCGCGCTGAGGCCAGGGAGCGGTGGTGGCACCGCCGAGGAAGAAGTGGCAACTCCTGGGCGTGCGTGGAGTGGGAGGGGAGGGGGGGAGGCAGCCCCACGCGCGGGCTCCCGGCCAGGGCAGGCCAGCACTACCTACCTGGTGCCCAGGCGCCGCGTGCGCAGCCCCATGAACACGGAGCGGATGAGCTTCCCGAAGGAGGCGGCGTTCACGGGGTCCAGCTTGTGCTCCTGGCAGTGGCGCAGGTAGTGGTTGTACAGGGAGCTCCTGGGCAGGCTCACACCCTCAGCCGTCTCGTAGTTATCCAGCAGCCACTGGAGCTGGGCGGGAGAGGCGCGGGAGGTCAGAGCCGCAGGGCCGCCGCTCGCCACCCACCAGGGAGGATGGAGGGTGGAGGCTGGGCTCTTTGTCAGCTCCGGAGACGGCCCTGGGGATGCCACGCGGCACCGCGCGCCCGCTGCTCCGAGCACGTTACGGACAGCGTTCTCCCACGCGTGCGCGTGTTCTTTCCACGCCCGGCCTGGCTCTCAGATCGCTCCATGAGTCTGACAGAAACCTGCACAGCACGGAGACCGTCTGGGCTCTGTCCTCGTGACTGGTGGGTAAGTGTGCACCCCGACGGGTCTCCTGAGCCACAGGACGGAGCCAGGTTGTGCTGCCAAGAATGCCAGGCAGATGCAAGCAGAACCCTGCACTCTGTGACACAGCACCAGGGATGGGGGTGGCCCGCGCCCCCAAACCCAGCCGCTGCAGTGCAGCAGGGACTGAGTGAAGGACCTGACCTTGTGAGGTGAGCAGGCCCCCGAAGGGCATCGGTGCTCACTGGGCAGAACGCCCGGGAAGCTGGGGCTCAATTCTGTGCCTCCACCCAGCAAAGTCTGCCACACTGCAACAGGCAAACCCTGGCATGCCGGGCTCTAATGTGCCCCTTGTCCCCATGTCCTGTGCATCCCACAGAACCCAAAGCGGGAGTCTCTCCTGGGAGACTTCCACCTGCTAAGGAGCCATGTGCCCTCCAAGATGGTGTTAAGCATCAAGAGAAAATCCACCCCGGGAAGGAGGGCTGGAGGGAGCACTGCAGTTTTACACCAGGGCAGGAAGGTTCACTGAGCATGAGCAATGAGCAAGGATGTGAAGGAGCCATGGAGAGCAGCACTCTAGGCAGTGGACACAGCCTGTGCAAAGGCCCTGGGGCACCATGGAGCCTGGTGAGGTGCAGCACACAGAAGGAGCCTCTGTGGCTGAAACAGAGTGAGCGAGGGGCAGAGAGAGGAAAGCAGAGTGAGAGACAGGTGGATCATGCAGGGCCCTGCAGGCTGCAGAAAGAACTTGGGCTTTGGCCCCAGGGCGGCGGGAGCCACTCAGGGCTGAGGGCAGAGAAGTGCCGTGACCTGCCTGAGGTATCAAGACGACCACTGGGGGGCCTGAGAAGGGACTGGAGGCGGGCCGAGGGGCTGGGAGTTGGCCGCGATGACTCAGAAGAGATGTGGTAGCTGAAGCGTGGTCGTGGCGGAGGCCGTGGGAAAGCAGCGTGACCCTGGCCTTTCCTGAAGGTGGGTGTGGGGGAGGCTGTGGCCTTGGAGGGCAGCACCGCCCCTGGCCAAGACAGGACGATCAAGGGGCACAGGCAGAGGACCTGCACCTATGGGTTTCCAGGGGGTGGCCCGTGGCTGTGTCCCCAGCGGGGCTTCCAGAAGGGCCCTGCCCTCCAGCAGAGCCAACAGCCCCAAGGACAACGGTCGCGGGCACACAGCCGCCCTTCACCGTCCCTCTCCCTCTCTGGCTCTCGGGGTGGCCATGGTCAGGTCCAGGATGATTCTACAGCAGCGTGTGTGGCGGATCGCGTCGGCTAAGTCACCCAGCCCTAAAGCCTTGATCGTGGCTCCTGATGGAAGAAAAGAGTTCAACGACAGGCCCCTGTGAGAAGGCGGCCCGGGGATATTTCATCTGCTGGAAAAGCCGAGTTGGAACAAGAGCGTGCAGGGAATAGAGACCACTTTGGAGAATCCAAGCTATAGTATAACAACCACTGATAATTTCCTGCCATTTTTGTCTGTAACTCACTATTATTTGTCTATTTGTTTTCCGGAGACACTATCTTGCAGATACCAGTAGGTAAAATAACAACCATTGATAATGTCCTACCACTTCGTCTGTAATTCAGTGAATCCCCCTATTGCTATGTTGTCCTTCTTTCACTCTTTTAAAAAAAAAAAAAAAAAAAAGAATGTGCAGGGAAGCAGCCCTGGGCATCTTCCCCATGGAATTCCCCGGAGCCAGCGTCCCAGCAGCCTTGACAGCCGGCCTTGGGGCTTTATCTGTCTGCGGACCCTGCTGCCTAGCCGGGCTCTGCGCCCCATCTCCCTTTGTCCCCATCCGACCTCCTCTGCCCCGGCCGCGAGGCTGCCCGCTGGCTGGACGCTGGCCTGAGTGAAGTGGGTGTCACTCCTCAGAGGGTGACCTGAGCTTAGGACTCTCGGTGGCTTCAGACTTGGTCCAGAGCAGGGACACTGCCCAGCAGGGGGTACCTCAACACGGCCACCATCTCCTCTGCCAGGAGCGGGCGGTCACCAGGCAGGGCCTTGTTTTACTTCGCTTTTTGCCTTGCAGCCCTAGGTGGAGGATGTATCTCTGTTGGGCCCTGGGGCAGCTCATCGCTCCTACGTCCGGCCCATAACCCGGGTTTCTGAATCTTTCCTGCGGTCACCTTCGGCCGCAGCACTGGGTGGGAAATCTTGGGGTGCTGGCTAGGGTGGGGTGGGATGGACGGGGGCTCCTTCCTCCCGGGCAGCGGCAGAGGCTCACTCCAGCTTCGGTGCTGGTCCCCGTTTCAAGATGCCCAACACACCTCCAGTTCTGCGCACAGCCGGATGGGGACAGTCAGAGAAGTGGCCAGGGACGTAGGGGAGGGGGCCAAGCCTCTCTCTCAGTTGTCCCCAGAGCCAGCCACAGTCGAGGGCGAGGACACGCGCCACCTCCCAATCAGGGCCTGGGGTTGCTGTGTCCTCCCGGGGAAGGAGGCAAGTCTCACAGAGCGCAAGTCAGCACCAAGTATTTGCTTTCTGCTTCTCTCAAATGATCATTTCGCCCAAAAGCGGACCCTAGGAACATTAGTTGGAGATCTGTATGACACTTCTGATCTTGTATCACTCTCTCTCTTTCTTTGTTGTTTATTTTATTGATAATGGACTCTGCTGGTTTTTGGAACTGGGAATTGAACTCAGGACCTCATGCTTGCCAGGCAGGCGCTGTGCCACTGAGCTGGAACCCCAGGCTCACTGTGCTGGTTCTTACCTGTTGAGTATTAAGTCTTTTGTTTGTTTGTTTTTATGGTACTAATTGAATCCAGGTCTTTCCCATTGAGCTATGTCGTCGGCCCTTTTATTTTTATTTATTTATTTGCCTATTTTATTTTGAGATAGGGTCTCACACAGTCCTAAATTGCCCAGGACGGGCTGGAACTTGCAGGCCTACTGCCTCAGCCTCCCACAGCACTGGCACTGAGGTGTGCACTGCCAATCTGACTTTGAGGTCTTCGGGACACATTAAATAATGTGGTGCCTAGGACAAGCCCTTTTTACCCGGAGCAGGGTCTTGCTAAGTTGCCCAGACTGCATTTGAACTTGTGATCCTCCTGCCTCCTGGGGGCTGCAGTGACAGGCATGTGCCTCCGCGCCTGCCTGTGTGTGCTTTTAAAATGTGCATGACAGCTACAAACAGGGCAGGGGCAGCGCGGGCCAGACACGCACTTACATGGCTGTTGAGTAAACCGCTTTTGTGTGGGGTGACTCCTTCGCTTTTTTGGAGGTTTTCGATCGCCATTTGAAGCTAAAGAAAATGTGTGCAGAACAAAACAAAACAAAACAAAGTGGGAGGAAAAAAACAGAAAAGGAAATCAGATGGTTAGCAACAGCCAGGATGTGGTTTTTATTAATACCCAAATAATGACTCCAGCGCTTATAAAAGAAGGAGGCGCGACACAGGCGGGGCCAGCGCGCAGAGGCAGCGCAGAAGCAGCGGCGGCGGCGGCGGCGGGGGCGGCAACAGCAGCAGAATCTCGCAACGCCGGATACACGCATGCGCGGGCCGCAAGCGTCATCGCCGCAGCGCAGCCTGTCACCCTCCCGCGCATCCTCTGCGGCCTCGGGATCAGGAGGTTGAAGCCAAGCACAGCTGGCGACCCTGATATCCTGGCCAGCCTTGTGGCACAGCCCAAGGCCTCGCTGCTGAACGCTGTGGGAAGTTACAGGCGAGGCGCAAGGCACAGGACATGGAGCGCGGGCTCGGGCGGCGAGCCAGGAGCGCGATGGTGGCCGGGCTTCCCGGAGGAAGGGCTCCGAGAGGAGGGCAGGTGCCGGCAGGGCTGTGCACCGGAGGAAGCCAGCCGTGTACAGCTGTCACCACAGCCGCACGCGTTGTCACCTGCCTTAGCTGTGGGGAGGCCCTAGAGCACAGCCGTCCTTTCCTGAAACACCCAGGGAAGGTCAGACTTCAACCTCGAGTGCAAAAAGCGGCTGGAGTGCGTGTGCCGACACCGGGTCCCCAGTGATCGGCGTGGGACCCCTGCGAGGGTCACGGTTTCTCCCCTGGCCCCTGGGTCACTATGCTCACAGAGGTCGGCCACAGCCTGTGACAAGGAGGACACTCAGAGCTCCGGGCCTCGAGGCCAGGTGGGTGGTTGTCTCGCCACCTTCTGTGCTGGTTGCCTTCCCACTGCGGGTGCCGGAGACAGCTGGCGGCCCTGGGAGTGGCTGGGGTGGGGACTGCACAGCGTTCCCAGGCAGGGGGAGAAGATACCTCCTCCAGGCCAGAGGGCCTCAGCACTGCGGCCAAGTGACTCCTTTACACGGCTAAACATTTTTAAGGTTCTCCCTACAAAAAAGAGCTTTCTTTTTTGTGTTAAATCTACCAGTACCTCCCATATTAGGAATTGTGGGAAAATAAAATAATGTGTACATTAATTTATTTAAAACAGTGATGAAGCCATGATAGGTGAACGTAAAGTAACATTTCAAAATGAAGACTAGGCTAGGCATAGGAGCACATGGCTGTCATCCCAGCACACAGCAGGCTGAGGCAGGAGGATCGATGTGAGTTCCAGCCTGCACCACAAAGCTGAACTACAAAGTGAGACCCTGTCTCAAACACCAAACAACAACAAATGAAGCAGCAGGTCCACTCCTATGTCCCAGTGGGTTGCAGATATTTCTACCGGATATAACGGCGTCCAACAACTGGTTGTCTCTTACTGAAATTCAAGTCAGCTGCCTCTGGGGTCCGGAAACCCTAGCGAGGAAGACTTTGGTTACATCAAATTCCGAAGCCACTGGGGCGGCCCCCAGAGAAGCAGGGGGCAAAGGGGCCAAGCCCACCAGAATTCATGTGCCGGGACTCTGGGAAGTAGGAGAAGCTTACAGCAAGCAGAAGGACACTTAGTAACAGTGGCAGCGGCAAGAGACAGGTGAACTTGGCATTCACAGGGCTTTGCAGCTCACTAGCTGACCACTAAGTAGATTTCAGAGCCACTGATGACAAGGAATGATTTCATAAAAGTGTTTTCAAAGGTCATGAAACAAGTGATCGACAACTGTAAGTGGCAAAAATAAATCCCAGGGAAAGTGGAAGGGTTTGACATTCAGGGTTGCTATATCATAATATTAAAATATCTAGTTTTCCATAAAAAAAATTATGAGGTGTGCAAACAAATAAGGAAGCATGGTCTACACAGAGACCAAAGAGAAATAAAACAGGGCTATCCCTGAGGAAGGCCACACATCAATGTATGACACAGAGTTCAAATCAACTATTTAAGTAGACTCAGAGAGCTAAAGGAATCACGTGCAAAGAACTAAAAGAAAGCATGATTGTCTTGTCTCGGCAAACAGAGAATATGAACAAAAACAGAGAAATTATAAAAAGGAGCCAAGCCAGGTGTGGTGGCACATGCCTGTGATCCCAGCACAGGGGAGGCTGAGGCAGGAGGATCACTGCAAGTTCAAGGTCAGCTTGAACTGCATAGTAAGATCTTGTCACAAACAAACAAACACATGAACACAATAAAATGGAAGCAAATTAGAATTCTAGAACTGAAAGTATATTTGAAAATGTAATGGCTGAAAACTTCCCGAATTTTGTGAAAGACATGAACCCACATACTCAAAAATCTCAGCAAAGCACATCATCATCAAACTGGGGAAAGATGTTTCCAGAAGCAATGCCTCGCAAACAAGGGACCCCCCTTCACAGTAACAGCGCATTTCTCACCAGCGATCATGAGGGCCAAAAGGGTTATAATGGTGAATTTAAGCTGTATGAATTTTACTTTAATAAAAATATGTCCACGTAACAAAAGAGATATTAGTCTGTCTTCTAGCTGAAATGACACTTTACTGACGGGCATAATTTTATAGTATAATTTTATATCAGGTCCTCACGTCTGCACATCTTTTAGCTGTTGATGCAGCTTGTTCAACAGCCTCAAGATCAACACTCATGTCTGTGAATATCGAGCCAACCTCAGAAGCACTGCCCTCTCTGGACACCCTCCAGGTCCCAGGACATACACAAGTGCTCCAAAACTCTCATTTTTTGATTTGAAAACTTGACTACGGTCACTGGTCCTTTCCCATAATGTCAGGCTTGTTTCGCTTGTGTGTGAGAAAGCCTTTGCCAAGTAGCACCCGAGGCACAATAATCATAGTCAACACCCTTCCAAGCAAAAAGGACTTCTTATGAATACAACGGTGAGCTCTGTCTGTAACCCGAACAACCGTACTGGGTCCTTTCCTGGAGATGGGCACTGTACCAGGGAGGGGGCAGCAGGCTGTGGGGCCTTTCCACCCCCCACACAGAATACTGAGGAGACAGGCACTTGAGGATTAACATTTAATGAAAGTATCATTTTTACTATATTATCAAGGACGCATTTTTTCTTTCATTCTTTCTTTTTTTGGCAGTACTGGGGACTGAAACCAGGGCCTTTGCACCGAACTATATCCCCAGCCCCTTATTTTTTAATTTTTGAGATAGGGTCTTGCTACATGCTCAGGCCTGGTTCAAACTTGTGATAATCCTGCCTCAGCCTCCTAGACTGCTGGGATTACAGGCATTGCCACTGTGCCTGGCTGAGGACAATTTTAAATGAAACTAGCATCTTTTTCTCTCTTTCTCTCCTCTTTCAAAAAATCCCCAAACTTGTGGCCATGGTGGTAAAGGGGCTTCTTTTTTGTTTTTTCTTTTCTTTTTTTTGAGATGGTCTCACACTATAGTTCAGGCTGGCCTTGAATTCACTATGTAGCCCAGGCTGGCCTTGAACTTGTGGTGACCCTCCTGCCTCAGCCTTCTGAATGCTAGGATTACAGCCACCATCCCTGGCTACAGAGTCTTCTAAGCGTCTGGTCTCTCTGCCTTATTTATTGCTGTTTTACTCACATGAATTCTGCTTAATTGATGAAGACACCGACATGGCCAAAGGCAACAAATGACTTACTAAAAATAGTTTAGGTCTTGTGGACACACTGAGAAGGTCCTGGGGACACCCAGAGGCTTCCTGGACATGTATAAAACTGACTGCTGCAGCTAGGTATGATGGCACACACCTAGCACTAGGGAGGCTGAGGCAGGAGGCAAAACCCTGTCTCAAAAAACAAAACCAACAAACAAACTCCCCAAAACAAAACCCAAACCCAAACAAAAAACCCATAGGCCAAGATTCTGCCAACACAGGTCAGGATCGTGCCTGTGACTTCAGGTGGCACTCTCAGGCTACACCCAGAGCTTAAATCCAACAGTCCAGGCCCCTAAAAGTGGTAATTTTTCTTGTTTTGGTCCTGGAGATGGAACCCAATACGTCACTCACACTGCACAAACGCTACTACAGAGCCTCACCCCCTCCGGGCCGAGTGTGGTGACTTAGTATCACAAATGGGGGCATCAGGACTTTATAAAATGTCCCCGTGTCCCCTGAGCGCTGGGCTGGTGATGCTCTCACTTGCCCCTGGCACTTCGGGAGTTTCTCACCTGGGGTATGAAGGAGCAGGTGTGGGTTTTGTTGTTGTCCGGTTTGAGACAGCTATGCAGTGCAGGCTGGCCTTGGACTCACCTACGTAGCCCAAGCTGTCCTCGAACTCACAGCGATCCTCCCTGTCTCAGCCACCTGAGTACTAGGATTACAGGCGTGCACCACCATGCCTGGCTAACAGGAGTGTTTTGAGGCATACATAAAAAATTTTTATTTTGAGATCAGATCTTAAGTCACCAGTCACCAGGCTTGGCTCAAACTTGTGATCCTCCTGCCTCAGCCACCCACAGTGGTGGGTTATTCGTGTATACCACCATGCCCAACCAAAAATCAACTGTATTTTCATATCCTAGTGTTGAGCAGTTAGAAAATGAAATTTTTTTTTAAAAACTAGGGCCGGGCATGGTGGTAGGGCCAGGCATGGTAGTGCACGACTGTAATCCCAGCACTCAGGAGGCTGAGGCAGGAGGATTGCTGTGAGTTCAATGCCTGCCTGAGCTACAAAGAGAGGTCAAAGCCAGCCTGATCTACATAGTAAGACCCTGCCTCAAAAAGACAAAAATAAGGCCAGGCGTGGTGGCACACGCTTGTAAGCCAAGCACTCGAGAGGCTAAGGCAGGAGGATAGTTGCAAGTTTGAGACTAGCCTGGGCTACAAAGTGAGCTCAAGGCCAGCCTGACCTGCATAGTGAGACCCTGTCTCAAAAAGACAAAAAAAAAAAAAAAAAAGACAAAAATAAACAAACAAAAAAACCACTGCTGGGCGTGGGTGGCGCATGCCTATAATTCCAGCACTTGAGAGGCTGAGGCAGGTACACTGTCGTCAGTTCAAGGCCTGCCACTACATACTGAGTCCCTGTCTCAAAAAAATAAGAACAAAAACACCCCAACGAACAAATAAAAACTCAGTACCATTTACAGTAGTTCCCAAACATGCAGTACTTAGATATAAATCTAATAAGGCACATACAGGATTTACATGTTAAACATGATCAGAGAAATCAAGGATGATATAAGTAAGTGGAGGCAACATGCCACATTCATGGACTGTGAGATGCAACTGTGGTAAAGATGTCAGTTCTCCCCAACCCATCTACAGACTGAGTGTAATGGCATCAAAATCCCAGGGTGACTTTTTGCTATAGGTGTAGATGAAATGACCTAAAACTCATATAGAAACTTGAAATTTATATAAATGGCCAACATCATTCTAAGGAAGAATAAACTGGGAGGACTCCTTCGATTTGGTTTGAGGGTTTACTATAAAGCTATAGTTAGGGGCCGGGGATGTAGCTCAGCAGCACTGTGCTTGCCTGGCAAGCGCAAGGTCCTGGGTTTGATTCCCGGTACCAAAAAAAAAAAGCTGTAGTAATTAAAATGGGGTGCTTTTGGGCAGAAAAACTGGCACACATATCAGTGGAACAGAACAAGCAGGACACCCTGAAATACAGCCACACGCATGGACAACTGGTCATTTCATAGTTAGAAAACATCAATCTACACCATACACAAAAGCAGACCTGAATCATAAAATAAAAAAAGAGCAGATCTGAATGTAAAATGTAAAACTACAACGTTTTTCAAAGACCAGAGGAGGAAATATCAGGACCAGCAGACAAGTGAACACTTGACACAACATCAAAAGCTGGGCCATGACAGTTGGGGAGAGGACACTAACTGGTTGTGGGGTCCCAATGCAATGGGAGGCTGGAGAGAAAAAGCTACAAAGAATGGCTTTCACCCCAGATGGCTCACTTGAGATGTTAGTAAGAATTGCCTCCTCAGTATTCTATAGCCATGATGAGGAGGAGGCCAAGGAGAGAAAACAAAGAGACCGAGAAAAAGCAGCTGCTTTTGCTGCACCACTAAGAGGAACAGATCCCAGGTCTGATTCCCGGGGCCCCACGAAGAACTCAACTACTGCATTCATCTGCTACCGCTGTTAAAAGCCAGGCCACCTCAAGAGGAACTGCCCTAAGAGGCCCCATGGGCCATGCCCTGGATGCAAAGGAGACCACTGGAGATCGGTCTGCCCTCTGAGGTGGAGGCCCCAGAGCTCAGACCC